CACACACTCACACACACACACACACACACACACACACACACACACACACACACACACACACTCTCTCTCTCTCTACCCCTCCTGAAGACCTTTGCATTTCCTGTTAGTCTCAATAATGCAAGAACAAGCAGCACTACTTCCTGGTTCTCAGGCTGGCGAGGAAGGAACCGCAGTCTGGTCACACGGTGCTCACCGCTTCCGCCTTACCTCCACCCAACCCACCCTCTCTCCATTCTTCACACGTTTCTCTCTCCCTCTCTTTCTACCGCTTAGTTTAGTTTCTCTCTCATTCTCTGTTTCTCTTATGTCATTGACTTTTTTCTTGCTCCTCTCACCTTTGTCTCCCTTCACCTCCCACACAGGCCCATACAGATTCTCACTGAAAAAATAAAAGACGGCTGACTGCAGGAGAAGGCACACACTCACACACACACACACACACACACACATGTTCTCACTGGAGGCAGGATGTTCCCCAGATCGAAGGATATTTTTACATGTCACTGGCGTGGCATGACAGTAAAAAACACAGCTTCTATATTTACAGGCTGTGTTTATCTCCTGGTGTGGAAAAAGGATGTGGAAGTTGTACTTAAAAAGACAGCGGTGGAGGATTTGGAATAGGAAAGGGCAACAGTCATCGGCGGAGAGGGAAATAATAAGAGGGAATAGAGACACAGAGAGAAAGAAAAGGACACAAGCAGTATGTGTTCAACATGCTGTTGCAGTAAAGTGCAGGGAAAGTGATCTGCACTCTCCTCCTAAAAATGGCCACTCACCACCCCAAAACGGTGTTATAAATCATTCATTCAGGCCTCCAGAGCACCATATGGAGACTTGCTGATGCAGTTCCAGAACAAGTGCCGACAAAGTAGTGTGCTGCGCAGTTATGCGTCCCCATAGAAGTGTTATCATCATTGTCTGGCTGTGAGCGCCGTGCTCTTTACTCGTGTTCCCCGTGGCGTGTCCCATTAGAGGGCTCTCGTAGGGCACAGTCATTCCCGGCACGAGCTAAAATACTGCATTATTAATCGGCCATGCTTGTTTACCCTGTGTGATCACCCTTCAAAGCAACCAGTATGATATGACCACACGCGTACACACGGGCATCCACCACATTCACTCCCCATACACACATACACACTTTGTTTACTCTCCACTATAATACCCCTAGGCCCGAAGCCCTGTGGGAAAAAAATTGGCGCTCTGGTTACGGGCAACAATGCTGGCATTTAATATGGGTCATGGTTACTAGGCAACCACAAACCGAGTGGACTGGTGTTGGATTACTGATCGTTTCATAATTAATTACGGATTATGAATAATTGATTGAGAAGTGTTGGGTAATTTACAGTCGTGTGTAAATGGGAGCCACCCCACTGCCTTGCCCTCATGTGTGCATGCTAATTATATGCATTTATGCACACAGCTTTCAATTCCAGTGATGTGAATAGGGATATTTGTAAGGGAAAATGCTACTTTGTTGAGTTTTCTATGCAACTCTCAGTTTTCATTATGCAGAAATATCTTGATGTTAAGTCTCTTTTGTTTTGATTGTTTTTTGTGATAACAAAAACTGAACTGATAAAGTTAACTAAAGTTTGTGGTTTTTATTATATTCTAAATGACATGGGTAAGTTGGGTTTTTCAGTTTTTTCTTTCTGTATATGATATAAAGTTACAATTATTTTGGACGTTGGCAATGAAGCATCATTGATTGGCTGCCGAGAGGTTTAGAGAAGTGTGCATTTTAACAGATAGAGAGGGAGAGTGAGAGTTAAAAGAAGAGAGGAGGATGTAGGTGAGAGGTATTTAAGCGCTGCGTAGGAGTTTGAGTGGGCCGAATAGAGAGGGTGGGATGGAGCTGAAAGCAGATCTGGACAAAGGACCAGCCAGGAGAGAAAGCTTTACTCCTTATTGCAAGCTGAATGTACAAATCAATAGATAAACACATAGTGTTATATCTGTGACCATGGTTTGAGGTAGTTATCTTAATATGTCATACCCTAGAATTGTTTTTTACCTACATGCATGACATGGCAATTTGAGTACTTTCTATCATTGCATGAGAGATTCACCTTGCATATTTTACAGTTTGATGTTGTTCTGGAGGTGACCAGTAGGGGTCAATGACCGTCACAAAGTTCTCTTTTAAAAAGCAAAAGCAACAAGGGACAGAGGGTGAAGGATCATGGCCTCGAGAAAAGTGAAGATGGAAAGATGGATAGATAAAGTCAGTGGTGAGAAAGCACACTAATGTTGAACCATTTTTATCCACTAGCACTACATTTAGTTGCTATGGAAACACAAAGATATGTCAAAATATGTTTTGACATTGGCATTGTGGGTAAGAAGAATGGGATGACACAAAGAAGCTGAAAAGAAAATATGTCTAAATAAATGTATTTAAGTTGCATATTCATGTTATTTACAAACCATACCACTCTACTTTAGTAAATTCTATGCAGGGCTGTTTGTAATTTATTTTAAAAAGACAATATACCCGGTTTAAAAATGACAGGTGTGATATTAAAGCATTCGAAGCTGTGGAACGTACATACAGTATGTGACAATGCTGTTTATATAATTTCATTATGATTTCCCTATTTTAAAACAGAAAGAAATTAGAACCAGAAATAGTTTTAAAATAGAGTCTTACATATTGAAGAGATTAACAGAAATTGAGAGAAGGCAAAGAAAGAAAGACAGAAATGTGGGAAGGAGGAGGAAGCAACGGAAATAAATGGACACCAGTATGTGTGGCATGAGCGGGAGATGCATAAAAGGAGGGAGGGAAAAGAAGAGTGCCGGCTGTCAATATAAAATAAAGGAGGGAGGTGAAAGAAGAGGTAGATTACTGCAGTATCATTTTCCTCCTTCGACCCCCTCCATCACTCCTTCAAACCCCTCTCTTCCTTATTTCAAACACACACACACATATGTCATATTATGCTGGTTTCAGTGCTTATGAGCATTTGGTTATGGTTCAGTTCGTAAACACCTCGTTGATCTATAAGGGGCCTGGGATGAAAGACTCAGACATGCAAATCCCTATCAAATGTTATCATTAAAGTGTACAAGTGTTTATTCATGGAGGAGGAACACAAGGCTGGAAAAACATCTGCAGGTATCTAGCAACCAAGGACGCAGGAAAGTTTGAGAAACTCAGGACAATTCCAAACACAATGGTTGAAACTATGAATGTTGGTTTGATTTGGTAAAAGAAGACTGGCCTCCTGTGTTAAAGTCTGATGTTTAGTTGACCCATATCCACCCTGACATCCTCCCTACAGAGACTATATGACACTATCACCTTACTTCCTCCTTCATAATTAACTTTGCTCATAATAACTTCAGCCAATGGAGGGGTTTGGTTACTTTAACATTACACGTGTCGTTCTTTCCATTTAAATGAAGAATAAAAAAGGTCCTAGGTTTGACCCTTGATGAACTTCATAGCACTGCACAGACAGTTTCAGGGATGGAAACAATTAACTGGCAATTGAAGAATAAATACAGGAATACAATTATTCTAAGGGACAATGATTTGAAATATATCCCCTAGCAGCTGTCAGAACTGACCCTCCCCTGCTATGACTGTGATTGCTAGTAAAACTCTTACATTTACACAGAATGAGTAATCCGCGAAGGAGGACATTTCTGCGAAACAGCAGTCGCACACATTCAGAATAATAAATTAAGCTTTAGAAATAAAACAGGAAACATTAAAGGGAGATAGTTGACTGATAGTCAGGTCCAGTGAGAGGGTAATTTGTGGTGAGGTAAAATAACTTAGTAGCAACGTGCAGCACTACATGTGTATATTTACCAGGCAGTAGTAAAGCTGCCAACAAGGGTCAAAGTACAGACATAAAATAGCCTGACAGACTCACGGATGAACTGCAGGCCGGCTGCCCTGTCCAGTTGTACGTGTTTGTTTATTAGCAAGGATTTCAATCTGCGCTAATGGGCTAACAGAGTATACAGCCAATCCATCATCATGATAGTTGTTCCAAATACAAAGATAAGGTAACACGTCTGTTAGGTAATGCTCAGGAAGGGACTCTTAAGTGTCACTGAGGTGTGAGTTTTACACGTTTCAACATTCACACTGGTTCCTGTTTTTTTTAAGCACCACAGAGATGTTGTGTAATGTGTTATTGGAGCATCTTGAGTAAGTCACATAGAAATAAAAATAGGTCTGCATTTCCATTATCTATAATCGGCAGGCTTTCTAAGTGCATGTGTGTGAGTGTGTACAATGAAACTGACATGCTCCATGTTCATCTGCTTTTACAACCTATTAATTAGAGCGCTGCTATCTCTATCTGTTGCTCTCGCTCCCTATCTCGCTTAGGACAACTAATCTTTCTCTTTCAATGTGTTTACCATTGAACCACTGATGATGTCTTTCTCTTTCATTTACGTGATCTGACACTCTTTCATTTTCATTCTCTCAGACAGTCATATTCCAAAGGGTCTTACAAAACCATGCAGGGGAACAATCATAAAGGAAAGTGTGATCCTAGCAGTTTAGTTTCTTTTTCTTTTTTCTTCTTTCTTTCTCACAAAGGCTGAGACACAACTACTACAGGTTAAATGGCAAAGTCAGGAAGGATATACCTGAATAAACATGCACAGTGTGTGTGTGTGTGTGTGTGTGTGTGTGTGTGTGTGTGTGTGTGTGTGTGTGTGTGTGTGTGTGTGTGTGTGTGTGTGTGTGTGTGTGTCTGTGTTCAGGCTCCTGCAATTGGTTATTGTCCTATTTTATATGTGAACAAATGTATGTTTGTGTGCATATCTATGGATACAGCGTGAGGGTCTGTTGCTAGCATGCATACTGTGTGTACTACATGTTTAGGTGTGTGTGTTTATGTCTACACGTGTTTGCGTGTGCATGGGACAGGTTGTAATTTAGCAAGGGGGAACATAAAGGCTCATGAAGGGGCAGGACTCAGGGGAGCCATCCGCTTGAACTCTCTGTTCCCGGGACGTGCCCTGGGAAGAGACCCGATGTCACTCGGACCAAAACAACACACACGCCCTGTCAAACAGCAGGGGAGGATGGAT